GTGTGTTTTGTTTTGTTTTTAGTGCATTTTGTTTTGTTTTTAGTGTATTTTGTTTGGAAGTCGGTTTTGTTTTTTTATTAAAAAGTTTTTTTCGTGTTCATACATGGTTTATCTACAAAATAAAGGCTATTCCAAAAATTAGGAAACATCCCATTGCAAATGCGTTGCCTACCCTTAATCTACGGAGGACACGCACATAAAGAGGATTTTTTCCTCTTCCAATGCGTGTCCTCCACTGTCAAATCTATTTTCCTTTCCATCCTTTCTTCTTAAGCAAAAGATGAAAAAGGAAAAGATCTAAAATTAGTCCTTCGGCACCACACTCATCAGGCGAAACGCGGAATTGTTCTTCACGCCTGTCTTCTGTGTGGTTGTTGCATCACATAAGGCGAGCCCTACAGTGCGAAGATGTGAAAGAGGACTCTATGGTTCATGGTGCAGTTTATTAAACAGTAAAGTGCCAATTTTGGTATACTATCGACCGTCATCCGCTTCTCTTCGAAAGCTTAGCTGTATCCAAAAATTTCACGATGACGAGACAAAAAAATCGATCGTTTTATTATTATTAGGGTAATTCAGTTATAGAAGCTAGATTTTTATAGATCGTTTTAATTAATTATTAGATCGACTTAACTCATAAATTATTGCCAATAAACCTTGTTTTTATTCCTTTTCGTCATAAATATGTCCAGAAAATTTAAAAAGAAATCAAGGTCAAATTCATTAATGCTTTATCGAAGTTAGACTTTATTTGAGCAATTAAACATATTTTTTTCTCGATGAGGGAAGCAAGAATCAAGAATTTTATAACTTCTAAGTAACGCAAAAGTTTTAATCATCCAAAGTTAGAGGATAGGAATCGATTCCTGTCATATTTTTAATCTTTGTTTTTTATTACGACGTATTGTAAATCATGTGGTTATGTAGTGTAGAGTTACCATCTTTTGATCTTTAGATATTATTGTTTATATAAAAAAGTTTGTTATAGTGTAATTCATAAAAGATACTAGTGATCATACGTTTTTACATTTTATGGTTTCTCGTAATTTCTAAAAATAATGTCAATAACTGCTTTACGGCGGATTGCGATGAACGCTTCATAAATGTTACATTTTCGACATATTTTAATAATTTATTAATAAAACATGCTCTAAAAATTGACTTATTGCACAATTGAAATAAAAAAACACCCTTGTCGACTACCTGTTCCTTGTAAACGGCGAAATACTTTTATTTTTTAATTAAATATACAATCTTTGCCGGCCAGTTACACCTCGTAACGCATCACTGTTACCAGGCTTTTGTGTTAAATTGACAAGCAATATTTAAATAATTGCATTCAATTTTGCAATGTCTACTGTATCTAATTAAATTAAAAAAAGGCTATAAGCCAAAGATAAATTTTTTATACCTTTTTTATAGTAGTAAGTGTTTTTTTTTAATTTCCTGTGATAGTGCAGTTTTTAGTACTATGTTAATATTATTAGTGATGTGAAATTGACAAAAATATGCGTGAAAGATAAACAATTTTTTTTCTATAAAAATAAATAGACTAAGTTATAAATTTTTATTGGTTTATAGTTTTATTGTAAAAATAATTTTAACTTGTATTTCTTTGTTGTTGAAATAATAAGATAAAATACATTTATGAAACAAAATTTGAGATGATGATAATAAATTTGCTTTAGATTCTATTCAAATTTACTTAAGTAGTGTATGCTAATTATAAAAAAAAACTTTTCATGATTATGAGATTTTATTTTGAATCGTAGAATTTTATTTAAAAAAATTATTAACTATTATCCAACTGAATATTATTGTATTTTGAAAACAGAATTGGTGTGAAAAATAAAATAAGAACCACCAGTTGTACCTCACTAGAGCACTTATTAACAAGCTTACTAGCTAATTTAATTATTTCCAAATCCTCGTTACATATAAAATACAATGAACGTCGTAATGTTTTCGAAGTTTTTTTTTACGAAACAGGTAAGTCTTACAACGAACTATCCAAAAAAATACCTTTGTTTTTCCATGCATATCTTTTATTTTGCTTAATTTAAAATTGTAACGTCAAAATTTTTGACTTAAATAATTAACTGAGACCGTATACTCGTATAATTCGGTTATATTGGGGGTTGACAGAAAAATAACTTCTAAAGGGATTCTTGTTTTTCTTTTACTAGCAAGCTAGTTAAGTTAAACACTTAATTACATTTTATAGGCTAGAACTGAGGATTACAATTCGCAATCAAAATCTATCCATGACCTAAAAATTAATAGATTGTTACAAAATTCGTAGTTTTGAAAGGCGTCTGGCAGCGTTGCCCGTAAATTGAACGGCCGCTAAAATTCATTAAAACCGCAATGAATGTATCAAAATGAAGTTCTTTGTTTAATTATAATTAACTTTTGTCCGCGACTCCGTCCGCTTTAATTTAAAATAACGAAACTAAGCGGCCTATGTGTTCTCCCAGACTATCTTCTACCTCTATGTAAAATTTCATAGAAATCCGTTCAGCCACTTCTGCTACAAAATCCAGCCATCCATCTAAACTTTCGCATTTACAATATTATTATTTTCTTTAAGTATTAGATTTTTTTTGTTAATTTATAATACTAATAATTCCTTTAACCATTCCAACTAAGCTCTAGGCTTGTGCTAGGATATGGTTTACCACAATAGTCAAATGGCGGGATTCGAACCCTCGACCGCAAGATCGGTAGTCCGTACCCCGAACCATTAGGCTATTGGCGCTTATTTTTTATTTTTATTATTAATTAAGTAAAATTAACGTTTTTTTGCTTTATTTTCAAGGTATTTATTTAATTTACTTAATTCATAGTTTGCGTCATGCACATCACTTGATAATCAAGCAAACATCGAAGGAAAAAACGTCAATGGATTCGGAAGCTTTAATAATAAGTGAAACTAGCGTAATATTAAATAGAATTTTACATATTAATTACTACAATCACCCTTTGAATAATCTTTAGTTATAAAGTACAGAGTTTACTGCTTCCCAAAATGCCAACATTGTAAAACAAGAATTAACAAAATTGCTCAACATTCATTAAAATAAACCTCTACACCAGTGATTCTCAATCACTGTGCCACGTCACTTTTGCCGCCAAATATTGCATATACTCGTATCTGTCATAGACTATTTATGCAGTGTTTAGTAAGTAAATAATTTTTATATTTATCTTTGTGTGCTGCCAAATTTTGCATATCACTGTCATAGACTAGTTATGTAGTGAGTTGTAGTAAGTAAATAATTTTTATATTTTTCTCTGAGTTCCGCCAAATTTTGCATATCTCTGTAATAGACTAGTTATGCAGTAAGTTGTAGTAACTAAATAATTTTTATATTTTTATTTGTGTGCCGCCAAATTTTGAAACCGTGAAATATGTGCCGCAACAAAAAAAAGGTTGAGAATCACTGCTCTACGCGATAGATCGTCGGTTGCATCAATAATGTAAACATGCATAAATGCAAATTATATTACACGATTATACAAATACGCACTATTATACAAATTGTATATTTGTTACGTAAAAACGAATACGTCAATTTTATCTCATACGTTTTTACTGCACTACTTCACATTTATGGCTTGCAATAGTTATTTTATATTTTCAAAGAAAATCTCCGACGCTCTCAAATTTGCTTTCGTCTAATACATACGAGTAAAAAACAAAAAGCTAAAGTAATGATCGCACCCGGAACCAAAATCTATGACGCATATAAATTTCTTGCGATAAGTAATGATGTTCCTAGCCTAGCTGATCATTACAGTAAAATACAAATTATCCATAAGTTGAACTATATTTATCACGCTACTTTACTTGTTAATATTTTAAATTATTTTGCTGTTTACATTGCGATTTTTGAATACATAGTATTAACATTTGCGATACATTTCGTGCGTATTTAATTTTTGTAGTGTCATTCGATTTGAAAAATGAAGACTGTCGGGATTGTTGATTTTAAATTATGTATGTTATTTACTATTTATAGAAAAATCATCTAAGTTTCTACTAGCATTGGAAGAAATATGAACAAGATAAATGCGTTTTAATGACACTTAACTATCAATTACTGTTACACTTACCTCACATACGATTTTGAACATATTGACAAAATGTATTATTTGTATATAAAGTACTAGATGTTGCTCGCGACTTCACCAGCGTGGAATTAAAAAAAAACATAGCCTATGTTACTCACTGATAACATAGCTTTTAAATGGTGTAAGAATTTTTGAAATCGGTCCAGTAGTTTTTGAGTTATTTCAATACATACAAAAATACAAACTTTTCATCTTTATAATAATAGTATAGATGACATAACTGCACTATCCTCAAACGTTCACTAGAATCCTGTTTAACACGACATATATAAACAAGTTGTACAAAACAATATAATACTAACATTTTAGTGATTGATTGAATACGAAAGTTCCTAATTGTCGTGATGTTCCTAGTTTTATTGTAAACAGAAAAGTAACTGAAAAAAAATTTCACCTTTTTTTTAATTTCCTTCAATCGTTCACTTTCAGGATTAAGACGTGTAAATCGGCAACTTCAAGATGATACTGGCACCGCAGGTAAACGATAAAAAAGTTTTTATAATGGCCCTTACCATCTTCTCATTATAACTAATATAAAGCATGAAGGAACTTACTCTATCAATACAAGAAGAACATAATTCACGCCCGTAACTTAAAATTAAGCAGAGATTAACTAAATATAAAACACAATCTGCTACAGTTCATTTTTAAACATATATATTTCTCAGGCATGTTCCTGCCCATTACTAGAGAATGGTATCTCGCTTGTTAACTCAACGGTCTGCAATGGCGCGGTATTATTCATGGTGATGCTGGAGGCGTACCTGCGAGGTCGTTGCGATATCGCCACCCCTTGCAGTAGAATAGACCCGGTGGACAAAGTAGACGAAGCTTATGATTTTATTGTGGTGGGGTCTGGTTCAGCGGGATCTATTGTTGCTGGGAGATTGAGTGAAATAGAACATTTTAAGGTAACCCAATAAATACCTAGGTATAACGTAATATACCTTTTTTCTTAACAGATAAGACGGCAATATTTTATTTTTAATTCGAATAATGTATTGGCATTTGATTTATGTTCTTTTACGTAATGCTATTAGAATATTTTTGATCAGTTTTTTTTTTATAAAATTGCCTCAGATTCATGGAATAATTTATCCTCAGTTTATAACAAATTAGCTGTTGTTCCCGACTTCATTCACTCACTGATAGCGTAGCTTTTTAATCGTGAAAGAGTTTTTGACGTCGGTCCAGTAGTTTTGCGTTATTTCAATACATACAAAAATACATACAATACATACATTTTGTGGTGCCGGAGGCCCAATTCAAGTCCCTTTATCTTTACCACCCTTTTCTTATAAGAGGAGAATGGGAAGGGGAAGTGGATTTGACGGTGGAGGAAATGCATAGGAAGGGGAAATATCCTCTTTATGTGCGTCTCCTCCTCCGTCGGATAAGGGTACGCAACGCATCTGCAACTGCGGATGTCTATGGTCTATGGTCGCTTCGTCATTTTGGCGGATTCAGGTGGCCGCTTGCTCGTTTTCCACCTTATGTTATAAAAAAAAATGCAGATCTTTTCTCTTTATAATATCAGTATAGATAGAACTATAACTTATGGGTTTTCAACGTTACTATAGAAATGTTTACAATCGTTTTCTTTAATACAGGTTTTATTATTAGAAGCCGGTGGTGAGGAGCCGATTGGGGCGAGACCTCCGTGTTTCTATCGGAACTTTTGGCAGAATCAGGACATCGACTGGTCGTATCGCACCGCACCGGGAAATTACTGCCTCGATCAGAAAGGGAAAGGATGCTCTTGGCCCAGAGGGAAAGTAATCGGTAAGTTTTATCATTAATTCAAAGGTCAATAGACATCCCTTTTAGTTAGTTTACTTTAACAGCAAGATTTTATAGTAAAACACGCACACCTTTGAGTAAACTATCGCACATCTGTTGTGCGATTGTTTCGCAGCCAATTCCACTGTTTTGTTCCACAATTAAAAGCTGAATAGTGTGTGCATATAAGTTCATAGGAATCAAGGCGAGATTAAACAGTTGTGGAATAGTGTTTAACTTGTTACCGACAGCGCGGCAGCCAAAAATACAAAACACTTATTATTAACCTAACATATCTTTATTGAAAACTTATTTACACGAAAAATATATAAAAACTTAAAACTCTCTTGATTACATCTTGACTTCTTCTCTTATATATATTCTTTTACAAACGATTATTGCCTTGGTGGCCAGTATGCAACCTCTTTGGCTGTATAAATACTGCTTGTCAGCCAAAGAGGTTGTATTTTG